GGTGACAAGCCTAAGCAGTGGGACAACACTTTGGCTTAAGCAGAATTTGCATTTAACAACACTGTTCATCGTTTAATAGGGAGATCTCCATTCTCCATCGTCTACACAAAGGAGCCCAAGCATGTTCTAGATCTGGTAATTAAAGTTGCCTAATGTTAAAGCCATGGTTGAACATCACCAAGCTACTATAGCAGAGGTGAAGCAGAAGCTAGAAGAGTCCAACACCAAGTACTAGGCAGCATCTGAAAAGCGACGACGAGTGAAGGTATTTGATGTAGGAGACCAGGTGATGTGTTCTTGCATAAGGAGCGATTTCCTATTGGTAGCTACAACAAATTGAAGCTGAAGAAGTATGGTCCTTATTGGATCTTAAGGAAAATCAACAGTAATGCTTATATTGTTAGTCTCCCTGAGGACATGAATATCTTTGGAACCTTCAATGTTGCTCATTTGTACGAGTACTTTCCATCTAATGGTCCATCTTATCCAAATATTAACTCAGAGACGAGTTTCTTTCAAGTGGAGGGGAATGATGTGGAGCAGCTTGCAAATAACTGCATGGAGCAATTGGATAAGAAGAAACTTCCCAAAAAGGAATGAAAGGATGAAAACACACAGTCCTACACAAACACTCAACTTTCTTATTTGTTTCTTTTTTTGAGTTTCCTAGTCTTAGTAGAGTTCTTATTTGTTTGTTTTCTTTTAAAGTAGTTAGGAAAGGTGGAATTGTCACCTTTCCTATTTGTTTCTTTAGGAATTGGTTTCCTAATTTGAGCAAGTTTGTAATTCAAGGCCTATAAAAGGGACCTTAAGCCTTTGTTTACAAGCTATGAATTTCAAATACAATTTCTTCAAAGAGTTTCTCTTATTTTCTGGTGCATTACCAAAGTATCAACCTAGTGGATTCTAGGTCTTTTCTTATAAACGTGTAGCTTGCACAATATCAAGCTCAACTATGGTTTACGTCGTGTGTCACATCCATTCCTTTGTCATACTTAGATATGAATCAACACATCTCAAATAAGTAAGTGGAATTCCTCCTCCAAGAATGACTTTGTTCATTGAAGAATGGTTGATTGAAGAGGAGTCATCCTTTAGGAAGAGTGGTGGAATCGATATCAGAAGAGGAGTCATCCTTCTACTCATTCTCACTGTGAAACTAAATTGAGCACTAATGCTTGTTCTGACAAACTGCCATCAAATCCCTCATCAATACCCTCATCAATCCCTCACTCTCTCTAGAGTTTGAGTTCTGTCTTGAAATTTAAGGGCAATTTATGCATACCAATTGATGTTTCAGTGATGGATGAGATTAAGAAGACAAAGAGTCAGATATTGGCTGCTGCTTTCATGGTAGGGGGAATACAGGAATCCTGTGACATAACTTACAGTATTTGCCTTGAGGCATTCTATGACAGTGACCCTTCAATTGTCACTACCTGCAGACATGAGTTTTATCTTCAATGCATTCTCTCAAGTGGTGTCAAAGATGCTCGCAGTGTCCCCCATGTGTTGGCAATCCACCAGTCTGAAGGATCCAACCAGTCAAGAACTACTTAAGGTAGTGGAATGGGAGAGGAACTTTAGGTTTAATCAATCATGAAATGCCACAACATTTCATCACCCCACTCCCAGAGGTTTTGAATCATAGCATTTACCAGTAGGTTGAAATGGTGTTGAGCTTGAAAAATGTAAAACACGACACATTGGCTTCTACTGCTACTATGGGGAGAGTATCATCACTGTACTGCTTGAAGGGAAGGAAAACACAGTACTACCACTACACATTTCTTGGTGTTCTCTACTCATCCCAGTGCACCTACTAGTGTTATTTCTTCTTCTCTAGCCCAAAGGATAGGGAAAATGTGTAGGTTCCTGCAATTACTGTTGCTAGTCCTTCTACTCCACTTACAGCCATGGAAAAACAACCATGCATCCAAAATTTTCTCCTGCCCAAGTTGGGCAAAATCTTGCCTCAGCATCTATATCTACTGCTTTGGATATATATATTACATATTCTAAATGATTTTCATTCCTAATTATTTCCACCTTAAATTTAGTGTTGTCGATGATGTATTTGTGGGATTTGTAAGAGTTTTCCTAATATATTCAAACATATCTATATTTTTCCACCACACTCATATATATCCAAAGCAAAGCACCTGTCTTATGTAGCCCCTTCTGTTAGCTAAAAAACAAACTTGTATCCAAGATTTCCAATACAATATGCAATACAGATATTTTAAACCTTGGTCTTCAAAATAAGGCATCAATTAAAGAGCCTTCTGTGTCTATCATAAAGATCTGCTTCAGTGTGAGTTTGGCGAAGAGAGATGGCATCTCATTAATAATCTTTTAGGGTAGTTTATCAAATTTCATGCCAATAAAGTTTCTCATGGGCAAAAAGTGGAATTTCAAAATTTTAAAACATTAGATCAGGATTTTCCATTAGGAGACATATGGAAAGGGGTGTACTTCGCATTTTTCTATGAAAGGTGAAATGAGGTTTTTTGAAGGGTCAAAACATGGGGAGGCTAAAGCTTAAGTATTTGTCAGAAAACACAAGAGGCGTTTAAGAAATTCATTCTTTAAATTAAGATTAGCGGGGACCCGTGCGATGCACGGGAGTTATTAAGTTAAAGATAAATAATAGAAACATGTAAGAGTATACAATTGTTTTATATAATAGTTAATAATCATTTATATTTTATATACTACTTTTAATAATTTTTACAATACAAAAATAACAATAATTAATTTTACATAGGGTTGTTTGTCAAACTTAGGGATGACAATTTTCCTCATTTCTTTGATCCCCGTGGGATCTACCCCGAATGGGACAGGGATGAGGATGACTTTCTTCCTGTAGGACAAAGATGGGGAAATTTTTATCCCTATTGGTGGAGACGGTGCAGAAACGGAGAGAACACTCCCTACCCCATGGGGACTCCGATCCCCACTCCATGGGATCCTCACTAATACATTTATATATGTATATATGTATACATATGTCTATATGTTAACATTTTTTAAAATATGATTGAATATGTTTGAATCTTTTCTAATAGGATTGTAATTTTTAATTATTTTATTTTTATTTTTTAAATAAAATAAAAAAAAACAAAAACATAATGGTTGACATTATAAAAAATCACAAGGAGTGGGGATCTCTGTGGAGACGGGGATGGGGATAACTTTGTCCCCGTTAGCGGGGATGGGGATTTTCATGGGGACGGGGAAGGGGAGAGGCTCCTCGTCCCCGCCCCTGCCCCATTGCCATTACTAATCAAACTAATGAAACTAACCAATCCGATTTATAGTATTTCCAGTCGGCTTTGGTTCAACAATTTCCCAACCCGACTAGGTTAGATCAGTTTCGCTTTGGCTATTTGTAAATTGACTAAAATCGGACGACCCAACCATAGATATATATATTAATATTTTATATTTTAAATATATTTTTTAATGCGGGAAATTGGGGAAATTCCAATATTTCTTAGGTTAAAATATTTTATATCATAAATTTAATTTTTAAATATATTTTTTAATAATGCCATTGTAATTTTTTATAATCTAAACGTAATGTTTAAATTTAATTTTTTAAGTTTAAATCGACCGACCAAATCTTTTGTAAAAATATACAATTATTAATAATATGAATATTATTAAATCGGTTATAATTATTTTTGTCTTTTTAATAAATATTTTAAATTTATTATATAATTTTGTTAGAATATTTAAATAATTCTTAAATTTGTTAATTCAAACTTTATTTAGATAGATGTAGATAAAAAGTGGGGGAGAAAATAAATAAGAATTAGAGATAATTTAAGAGAGAAACTCTCCATGTATTGGGAACACCTCTCGGTGATAATACTAGAAATGATGATGTCATCATTGAGAGATGTTCCCAATACACGATGGGAATGTGCTTTGGGACGTTGTGGGGGACAATCTCTCTTATTTAGGTAATTGGAACGTGAGAGAGAGAGAGAGATTAGGAAGATTTTTCTAGAAAAACAGAATTTCTAATTACTAGTTTCAAAAATGATATGGATTAAAAAAATTCAAAAAAAGGAGAAAATTTGTACTTCCTTGTTTTAATCTATCTATCTATCTATTATATATATATTTACTATTTACATAATTAACTTAAGAATTGAAGATTAAATTGATTAACTTTTGTCATATAAAAAATAAAAAATATAGAATAATTTTTTAATAAATAAAATCTATATAATATCCACTTGTCCCAGTATGTTGGTCGTAGTTATTTCAACCCTAAATTTAATTTCATTAAACGTATTTATGAAATTTGTGAAAGTTTCCCTAATGCATATCAAAGTATGTATCCATTTTAAATATATCAATTTGGTATATGAAATAAATGTTGTGGCGTGCCAATGGTCAACATTTAAAATAAATGCTCTGGTTTACTTTTACACCATCTTTGAAATCAAATCTTCTTGCATCCTTCCCACTCCACCTCTTGTACCTCCATTCTTTTTTATTTATATTTTATAATGGAAGCAAGTAAGGTTCAAAATGTCGATATATCCGACACCAGTAATGGCGTATAAGAGAGTATCAATAGCTTTTTTTTTTTTTTTTAATCTTTTTTTCGAATCTGATTCAAATAAACCCCAAAAGCCTCTGTAGAGGCGTATCGGGAAGCCCCCATGACGATATGCTTTGAACCTTGTGAAGGTCAATTCATTTTATTTCCTATTTCACTTCTCACAAACAAATAAGAAATAAGAAAAAGCCAAATCTGTAACAAAGTATACCAGAATTTACACGCGGCCCATTCTCCACTTCCATGCATTTACACCGGAGCAAATGAAATTTGTACTGCAACCAAACGCAGCCTTATAAGTCGGTCGCTTGAGAACCCATGGAATATCATCATTGAACATGATGTGTAAGATAAAGATTGCTATCCATTTACGAGTAAACCTTACTTCGGTTCGGTGTTGAGCAAGCACAGACGAAACATTAGAAATGCGAACAAAAAGCAAAGAATATTAAATTAACTGATAATAGATGGATTATTACACAATATGTTCTAACACCACCCCTCCCCCCCTTTGAAAAAAAAAAAAACTCAAAGCAACGACTTGCTAACACAGGCAACGGAGGAAAAAAAATAAAAGACAATCACACCCTAAAACAAAAGAAACAGAAGTTTATACACAAACCACTGGCCCACATCATACACCATGCAGCTTGGAATTGATAAGAAACATGAGATGAACTGCAGCCAGACAGGATCTCTGGAACGACATGATCATATAACAAGCATTGAGACAAAAATTTGGCTGATCAAGCTGCAAGGACTATAATCACAATGAGCAGAATAATCCCAAAGATCACCAACAGCAGGCAGGTCTGCACATGGGGAAATTTAATGTGGTTAACAAAAGCAGAAGAAAAAAATCTAACTCAAATATGAAGTTAAAACAGATAAAGAAAAAGGCATGCAATTCTAGCCCACCACACATAGACTATCCTTGTTCAATCACAAATATGGACCTTTCACCCAGATCTAACTGCATACTTTCATTCAGGTCATACGACTGCAACCTCTTACTTCAGTAACATCACTTGGAAACCTAAAGATGCCATCCAAGTTCTGCCAATACAGTGTCCATGGTGCAGGCACTATCCTATACTTCTCAAAGCATAAAACCTAGAGGTCATTAAAACTTACCAGAGATGAATTTGMTCTTTGGGTCTTGGATGCTTTTGCAAGTTGTGCTTTTGCCTGTGCAGTTGCAGCATGGGAATTCTCGATATTAGAGTCAATTTCATCTGAAATTACACAGTTCTTTCCACAGTGAGTATAACAGATTAGACAGATTTACAAGAATAAACCAGAGAAAGACTGACCAATCATTGCTCCTTGATCATGGACAAGCACTGCTAGATCTTTGAAAATCTCATTGACCTCACCAATTTGTTGTTGGATTTCTTGGATCCCTTGCTCCCTCTCCTCAATGATGGCTTCATTAAAAACAATTTCATTATCCAGTAGCAGGACCTCCTGTCTGCGGCCACAAGGAAATAAAACTTGAAGCTCCTTTTTTTTTTTTTTTTAAGTTGAAAGTTACTGCATTTTCATCCAACCAGGAAACCCACAAATTTAACAGAGGCTGTTTAATGAAATGTGGACTCAGAACCTACCTATTTATTAAAGCACAAACTCAATTAAATTTTACCTATTTAATTAATTCCAGACAAGCTTTTAGATTTGGTTGGAGAACACCAAAATCTCAATAAAATGATTAAATTATATTCAAATTTTCAGAATCAAGAAATGAAATATAACTTCTAAAAGAAATGAAATATTTCAAAAAGCCTATTAGATCAATTGGTTAGAACATTGTATTACTGACACAAAGCTTGTAGCCTTGTAGCCTTGTAGCCTTGTAAGTTCAAGTCAGTGTTCTCAATTCTGTAAGGCAATGATTAATCATTTTGACCTCCCTAGTCAAGGTGTTGACTAATTGGTGCCTAGGCACTGACAAGCTGACCACAAAAAACATATGCTCTAAATTTAATATACTGACCCAGGCACCCAGCCTCATATGCAAATTCGAAATAAAGAATAATATGTTAGTGTGTATTCTTCATTCCACAAACATAAAAAAGTTTAGATAGGCTGAGATAGGGAGTTACAATCTTTTGTTCCTCAAAGAAAGAGTACCTTGATTATTTGATCCAACCCCCTGATTGGTGACTACTACATTAGTTTATGCTCTTCATTTCACAAATACTTTTTTTATCAATGGAACTTTTATTATATTAAAAATATGTGAAAAACATTACAAGTTTAATTTAATGATCATAACATCAGCCCTAAAACATTACAAGTTTTACAAAGATGCCCAAAACAATTGCTGCCTTTCTTCATTTCACAAACATTAAAAAGAAAGATAGATAGGCCTAGATAGGAAGTTACAATCTTTTTTTTTTTTTTTTTTGATGAATTAGGAAGTTACAATCTTTGTTCCTCAAAGAAAGAGTACCTTGACTATTTGATCCATCCCCTTTATTTGTGACTACTACATCAATATGACCTTTTGTCAAAAAGAAAATGGTGTTGAAATATGATCCACAAAGGCATTTGCATCTCTTCTGACCCAATTACAAGTCATTCCTTGCAATAGATGTAATAGAGGTGTCTCGTAATTGGGTCAGAAGAGATGAAAATGCCTTTGCTGATACACTTGCTAAACAAGGGGTAGGAAGGAATAGCTTGTTTTGGGCTGTGTTGTTATATTTTCATTTGGGAAGGGGCTAAGAGAGTTTATCCCTTCCCCCTTCTTTCTCTTCAATAGTACTAGTTTTCTTCTTAATTAATGATATTGATAAAAAAAAATGACCCACACATGATACTAGAAAAGATTGGATTGTTATGGTTTGGAAGTTGGAACATTACTGTCAAAAATTCAGGGGATGGAAGTAATAGGTAAAAACGTCATCTTTGGAAACACTATTAGACTCTTCATCATTGCAAGCTTAAGGTCATAATCAAGAAACGAGAGCTTTAGCCTTTTGTTATGTCTGTCTGTATATGTGTGTTTATAATAGAAGCATAATAAGAAAAGACTCAGGATTTCTAAAAGCAACAACTGATATTGGTTAAGGAACCCAAAAGCAACAACTAGTGGCTCATAAAGAAGGTTTTAAAAGAACTCCAAATAGCCTTTTTTCCTCCTTTTAAACCTATCTCTGTTTTTTTCCCTAAATCAGCCTCCTCTTGATTGCACATTATCTCCTAAATCAATCTCCTCACTGAAACTCAAACCAGGTCAGAATTTAGGAACATTGATGAAAATATAAACCATTTTCCAAAGAACTTCAAACACATCTTTAGGTGAAGAAAGTATCATAAAATCATTCAAGTGATAGCATCATATCTAGTTTGACAAGAATCAACAACAATGTGAAAACAAATCAATGAGAATTATTGTACAAGATAGCAAAAAATATATATAAAAACTAGAATACCAAAAAGAGCATGGAAGGTGAAAATGAAATTATGAATAAACTACCATATCAACAAATTTGCGTTGAAAACAGAACTAACCTTCTAGATTCCACAAGAAGAGCACGCTCTTCAGGGCTCTTGCCTGAACTTATGTCAAGCTCGCTTGCAGTATAGCTGCATTAAAAGTTTTTAAAAGCATAATTTTAGTAAAATATGCACATTTAAATCTAACAAAACTATAAAGCCTCTGTAGCCACTGAACAATACCAATTCAAAAATTAAAATGAGACTGTCAATATTTCCAACAATACATTTGAAAAGTATTTTCATCTTGATGCTTGTGCTGGCCTGTGACCATACAGCTACCAGAACTACCTGGAAGGAAGGACTGCTTGGGGAATAAAAGGAGTATATGCTGTTTCTCTCTCAGCTGCAAGCCGTTGAGCCTTCTGAAACTCTTTAAGAACTGCCTGGAAATCTTTTGCAAGCTTAGCATCAGCAATCTTCTTGCTGGCCTGCAGTTGGAAAAGATTCACATTCTAAGAACAAAACCTCAGTTAACTGAAAACATGCATAAAAAAATTAATAATTCAATAATAAGTTACTTGACATGCTAGATTTTAAAGGCTTCAGGGAAAAATACAAGGATTTCCAATGTAAGTAAATGCATGAGGATAGCCATGTGAGTGATCCTACAACAGTGTAGGTGAATGAAAGGCAAAAGAATAGAAAAGAAAGGGTGGAAATGGAAAGACAAGAAGAGAGACAAAGGAGAATCTAGGACCATTGTTTATTGGGCTTCACAGGAGGGACTTTGGGAAATTATTTACTAGATGACTAAATGACAACTGATTTATTTATTTTTTTTGATAGTAAAAGGAAAGATTTCATTAAAAAAAAAAGAAAATAGTACAAACTCATAAGGTGTTAAGGTAACACCTACCAACAAATAACAACAGAAGATACAACTCAAAATAAGTCATCCAAGTTACAAATTGGCATCCCTTAAATATCCCCAAGCTTGTCCGCAAGATCCTCTTTGTTGACTTGTGCAAACTCTGGCAGAACCAACCCAGACTGAAACTGATTTACCAACAGCCACTACCAAACTATCAAAGCTCCATGTTTAGTCTTCAAGCATTCTTCTGTTTCACTCCTTCCATTCATTCCAGCAAATAGCGAAAGGTAAGCAACTCCAAATCAGCTTGGCCTTCTTCCTGCCTCTGAGTTTTGGCCATGAAGAGAAAATCACTTAAGGGGTCCTTGGATTGAAGTCTCACCTCCACTCTTCCAAAAACTCCCTTCACTCTTCTTCAACTAAACCTTCTTCTTGCCCTTCTCCTTCCTCCCACACCTCACCACCTTCCCCAATAGCTTTCTTTTTATTATACTCTTCTCTTCTACTCCTTTCAAAGTGACCTATTGCTTTTATTATCACATTTTCCCTGCCCAGGAAAAATAACCCAAGAGACTTTCCCACCAGCATCTGGCTTTCCACAAGTTGTTCAATGCCCACCCTGCCCCCATTACTGTTCTCCTCCCTCGATACCCTCTAACCCCTTATTTCCTCTCCCAGCTCTTCCAATCCTCCTGAACTTCCACTTCTCCCCTTTCATCCTCAATTCCTCCACCTCCCTACACTAAGGCTCTTCTCTTTCTATTATACACCCTTTGCTGATGATCAACTTTTCACCACACTAGAAAACTCTCTCTTCACCCCCTCCCCCTATCCTCCTCTTTTCTAACTCTGGTTTCCCTATCCCTCCACTTCCATGTTAAGATCCCCAGCACAGGTGAAGAGGATAAATCAGCAGAACTCACCTCTATGTTCAGTTGTGCTATTATGTCAAGGGCTTTCAAACCATGAGAAAGTCTCTCCATAGTGTCCATTGCTGCCACCAAAATCTGATTCACTCCATCTCGTTCCCCCTCTGTTATCTCATTACCAATTTCTACTATTTCACCCACATCAATGTTTGAATGTTGCTCCTCAATCAGCTGATTTCTCTGGTCCGGCACGCTTTCTTTCTGCCCTTCCTTGCAATTCAACTGCAAACACTCTTACTCATCTGCTTCTGTGTTTTTCACCAGCTTTGAGCCACTCCCAAACTCCTTGGCTACTCCTCGGCTTCTCCCACAGTGATTTTCTTTCCTTTCTCAAAACTTGTTACTACCCACATCCAGTTTTCCTTCGAAGTCTCTCTCCCTCTATCTCTTCTCTAACCTTATGGGATCTTGACCCCTTTGAAAATATTTTACCCTTTCTAGTAATAAGCTTCCCTTTTACCACTTGTAACCTTCTATTCTGGTTTCCCCCTTTAAAATCCTTTCTCAATCTCTTAAAATAGTGGTCCCCAGTCCCCGCCCCTTCCTGTATTTTTAATTTTACCTGTTCACTATCTCCTTTCCCATCCCTTTCACTCAACCTTTGAACTTCCACCGATCACCCATCCCATCCTCCACGTGTCCTCCACCCTACAGTCCACTCATCCCACCATCCTCCATGTCTTCTTCTTTACCCTCTGATACTGCCACCTCACCATCTTCTCCCTCCTCTTGATAACTCTTCAAATTCCTATCTGTCTCCATTCCTCTCCTCTGGCAAACACTCTCCAGCTCGAGCTCCTCCCACCCCTCCTTTCCCATCTTTGCACCTACTTCTTCATGACCTGCTTTCAAAACCTCTTCCTCCATCCTTAGATAGGTACCATCTTCTCCTCCAACTATAATTCTCAGTCTATACCTTTCCCCTGCAAATTTAAGCTCCAACTTATTTGGAATACCAGAGACATCTGCCACTTCCACCAGTATTCTTGTCATGTCCAGCTTTAGCTAGGGCAGGTGATTCTGAAAACTTAGCTGGAGTAGGGGTAGCCAGGGCCTGGTAGCATTCTGTAATTCTTTTTTGTAGCTTTTTCTGTTGTTCCTTTTTGTTGGAGCCTGCTTTGTATTCTGTTGCCAATTTTGGTTGGCTGAGTTCTTTGATCTTTCTCTCTTAATAAAATCTTTGCTGTTGCTTATAAAAAAATAAAAGAATAAAAAAGAATATGGAGTGGAAACCCTAAATGAACTGATTTAAGTAAGAAATGCACATTGAACACTGGTATGTGAGGAATTTCAAGGCGTGCAGATGGCTGCTAAGAGGGTGGCATATTATTGCTAGTACATCACTTGGAAGATTAATTGGCAACCTCCTGAAGCTGGCAGATTAAAATTCAATTTTGATATGTGTTGTTTAGGCAACCGAATCAAGTCTGGTGTGGGAGGGGTGGTAAGAGATGAGGGAGGAAACATAGGATTAAGCTTTTCAGGGGCTATTGGCATTGGTAACTCTTTGAAAGCAGAAACGGTGGCCCTAGTCTCAAGTTGCTGGCACTACAGAATTGGAGGGATGTGATCACAGAAGGGGATTGCCAAGTGCTTATTTCTTGGCTTGCTTCAGAGGAGGAACCACCTTGGAGATTCAGATCAATGATAGGGAAGCAATAACCTTTAGAAGAAGTCTGAACTGCTCTTTCTTCAGCCTACTCCCTAGCTTAGAGGTTAACCAGGGCAGTCGTAACCAGACAAGGATGTGTATGGGGGATGGATGCCAGGGTCCAGGACTCTTTTCTAACTTCTGTAATTTCTGTTTCTGCTTTTTGTTTGTACTGTCAGCTTAATGCTGTTCTTTATACAATCCCTGCTGTCTAGTTTGGACAAGCCAGGGTTTTCTCAAGTATTTTCACACAAATTCTTCAGTTAATTTATCAAAAAAAAAACTCAAAACAATGACTTTGGTTTCACTTTCACCGTGAGTATCTAAGTTTCTCAAGTCCCAAGATTGGGTTGGCAGACCAAGATCCAATTGTGGATCCCCTTAGGGTTGGCAACAGAGTGAAATAAATTATTTATTTAGTAATTTTGGCTGTTTACAAGACACACCTGAATTTGCTAACTGCCCCATCCCAACCAACATGCTAGCCATTAACCATCAGTCATCTTGTCTCTTCCAGGAAAAGATTGAAGTAAACAAAAATAACCTTCATATTTATTATAGAAGCAAATTGTCTCTAAACTTACACTAACTTCACTATGCTGATCTGTTTCACTAGCTTGTTTAAGCTTTGCCGAAGTGTCCTTTACCAGTTGTCCAATATGTAGTCTTGTCTTGTGCCTGCCAACCATTTCAATATATTATGAGGATCAATTAAGGACAAAACAAAAGGTTCATCATGAAATAACCAATCAATTCATCATTACTTGAACAAAATGAAGTTCAACCAATTAAAATAATATATGTTTCAAGTACAAAATATTTCTCGAATGATTTGTGTTATACAAAACTGCATGCAACAAGAAATAGCCAAATTCATATATCAGGACTCTTTTAGTTTTTCATCCCTTATAGTTGGGACAAGGCCTTTTTGAGTTAAATAGCTGACTGAGAATAGAAGCATTTGGTATACAATAGAAGCAATAGCTGCCTGAGAATTGGTAGAAATAATCTTTGTTCACTTCATATGATAAAGCAAACCTACCAGTTCTGACTCTAGTGGAATCAAAATTTAAAGACAGTACATGCAAGGGCAGATCTGAGAGTAATTGCCTCCAGAAATTTTTACAAAATTCTACATATTTTTTTATCAGCATACAAAGCTCAATATATATATTCAGCTTATAACAAGCTAATCCCCTAATGGTTGCAGATGAGACCTAAGCTAGCATGTCTATCCTGAATCATCATTGTTCAGGCCTCGCACAAACATGCCATTTAGAAGTAATAGGAGGAGGAATAGGAGTATGCTAAGGGATATAAGCAAAATGGATGTGGGAGCTGAATGTTCAGATTAGGTGAATCCCAAGGGCAAGGAATAGCATGGTCAACATCAACATATAGACCAATGGTGTAATTGGATAGGTAACAAGGGCTATCAGGGCTGTGATGGGTTAATCCTTTTTTTTTATCAGAAAAGAGTAAACTTATTAATTGATTAAAAGGTTACAAGTACATCCAGAGCTGGGACTGGATACCCAGCCACCCATATGTTGCTTTTAGATTTTACAATGCTGCCCAGAAATAATGTTCCCTATGGACTCTTTGTTTGGCCAATGAATCTGCTATTCCATTAGCGCTTCCCTTAACCCATCTGAAAGTTGCACCCACCTCCCTCGCTAGCTTCTCGATTTCCCTCAAAGTTGCACCCACCTCCCATCCCCCAACCCAGGTGCAGGTGGGATTTGATCCCAAGTCTCCACTATGACCAGCAGGAGACCTTACCAACCAGCTGGTTGGCACCTTGCAATTTCCCTCAAAGTTTGCCTGTAAAATCAAGCTCCTGGGTTGCTTCTGCACATCCAGGAGATTACTAGCTTTGTTTCTCCCTCTATTTCAATACGCTGCAGTGCAATCTACTTTGCTAGTCTTAGGCCTTGTGGGAGTGCCAATACTTCAGCCTTTAAGGATTCAGTTAACAATGAAAAGAAAAAGATATAGGAGGATTAAATGATATATTCTAGGTTGTGAAAGCAATATTAGTGCTTCATACTGTACATGTTAGAACAAAGTATAGGCTGTGTATTTTGATGCTTAAACCCAGAGCGTATACCTTCTGCATAAGCAGTGCTCTACTTATGGATAACTTTGGTCATAAATGAATAAGAATAAGCATGGTTTCAAATGTCAACATATTTCCTAATATTTATTTTTTGATTGGCACACATTTCCTTTTCCATAGGCACTGACATGAACTATTACTGATATTGACATATTCTCCTGTAATTACTACTTCCACTCTTTGGAGTACACAAGATAGTATTATAATATGATGAGTTGGAAACAACATTGCAAATATGCGGAGCATCAATATTATCACCACCTAACAAAAACGATTACCACTTTATGCCAGATCGAAATTCATTTGGAATGTAATATTAAATCTTAATTTTTTTTTGTGTAATAGGTCATTCAGTTAATCTAGTACTATTATTTGCACTCTTTGTGAGCTTAATTTTATTTAAACTTTTAATTTACCCTATTATGTGGTTTTAACTTAAACTATTAACCTTAATTCCTTAGCCTCGTTTGATGGTTTGGAATAAGATAATAATCTACAGAGAATACCTCAGCTTCTTTTACCATCTTATAAAACATTATAGTATTTCACAATGTTTTCACTAACTCTAACTCCACAATTTTTGCCATATTTCCAATATGACATTTCCAATGTGTTTCACTGTTTCCTATTTTCAGAATTTCAGATGAACTGACATCTCTACTGCTGACAACATTTTAAACCTTGCCTCTAAGTATAGAATACATTTCTACTCCTTTAAATTATTTTCTTCTCAATAGCCAATGTGATAATTTCACATAGGGTGTTGACATCCAGCTTTTTGTCACTATATATTCTTTCATTTGTTTATGGCAAAGCATCAATAACCTTGTGGTCTCTCAACCTCACCTAAATCCAAAACACCATGACAAACCAACCTAGGAAAGTGAGTCAAGGGAAATAACTTAAAGGTTTCTATGGATGAAAATAGAGCAGAACATAGGAAACATTCATTTTAAAGACAGTGTCATTCCAGTAAAAATCTCCCCAAAACTCATCTTTATCACCCTTGGAAACATCATGCCTAATGAACTGTAAAAAGATAAATAAAATTATGAATGAAGCAAAATTCCTAGGCAGAAGCTCCATAAGAAGTTGGAGTGAAGTGCCATGGGAGTGGGGGATGGGAGGAATTTGGGCCAAACTCATCAAAAACTTGATACAAGTATAATGGGCACTAATGTTTTCAACTACCTTCACTATTTTCTTTCCACTATTATCTTATCTCGACTATTAAACACAAAAACTTGCCCGATATAGCTACATCATTCGTATTAATATAAATAAGAAATGATTATGTTCTAGGTGAAGCTGAACGTCATTTTGTAATACAAAATTCATATTTCACCCTCTACAATTAAAGACAGTAAGTTACTATACAAAACCAACCACTTGGGAAAAGAAGCAAGAAACTCGTTAATACGTCAATACATGAAATTGGTAATTAATGATATAACCTTCTGTAAGAAGTAAGAACTGCATATGAATGAAGTGAAACTGTGCGAACACCAATGACACATAAAGAAACATCTCATTCATGGATATTATCCAGTCCGACCATCCTAGTGTCAATACCAAGTTACATTCTTTGATGCTTGAAAACTGGAATTCAGATATAAGCAAAAGCTAATAAACATCTTATAAATTCTCTAAAAATTATCACTGAAAGGACAATTAATTCTCCCTTATTCTCCTGAAGGATTGCATGTAAACAATAAAGATACTAATAATTCGAACTTCAAAAGGGAGGAAAAAATACTTACAGCTTTTCCCGGAGCTCTGGCGTATCCTTGGGAGTTCCGAGGGTATTAACGAGACGCTGAAACGTCGAAACGGCAGTATTAATCTGAAACACACCCGAAGCAACGGCCTGCGTAGAATCTTGTTTTCCATTGATGAACTCTCGCCTCGAAGGCAAAGGCCGACCAGATTCGAGATCCTGGAAGCTCATTTTCCTCCCCTAGAATTCTCAGAAAGATTAAAGCGATATCTTTCTGAAAACCCTAGAAGCCCGAAATTCACAAAGATCGAAAAGAATAAAGCACTGATCTTGGATTGATCCGATTTGGAGCGCCAATTCGATGACGACAACGCAAATTGAGGAACGAATTCAGAAGAGAAGGAAAGCAAACCAAACTACCAGACAGAGAATTTGAAGGGCGGAGAAAAATTTCTAGACATTGAACAAAATGGTAATATTGTAATTTTTGGGGATGGTAATGGTAAATAGATGAACTATGATTGCTTACTTGTCGTTCCCTACCGTCGCTTCGGTGTTGTTTGTTTAACAAAGCTAGAAAAGGACACAAGGAATTTGAAGGATTCTTGAAAGAAAGTGGATGGAAATTTCCATGCCCGAATGTGGAGCATTAATCGGTTCAGGTAGGAAAATGGTTCACCGAACACTGGTCCGCATACGAATGGGGAAGATGACTTGGATGCGGGTTTAGACCTTCGCTGCCTCGCTGGGAGCATGAGAACCATTTTACGTGTGGGATTTGTATCGAGTTCATTTACGCATACGTGTCGGATCTTCAAGAAGTCAAAAGCAAGTAAAAATCGTGTGTGCTTGCTTTGAAGGAAAAGGTAGGAGAAGCCGGAAAGGAAAGGAAAGGAAAGGTATACAAACCTTGTATAAGTTTCTTTACCTTTCCCTTCTTTTTCCTACCTTCTCCTTCAAACCAAATACAGTTCTAGTGAAAAATAATTTGTGAAGCTTTTTTCATAAAAAAAGAGGAAAATCTGTGATGCTAGAAAGATATGATATTGAAAGAATTTTGATCAATCAAAACTCACCCGTGAATTTTAATAAATTTCGCCTGATTAACACATTTAGGATATAGGTCCATTGGTCACAAAATTCTTGGGTATCATGTCTTTCCAATATCATAACCGAACCCCATAAAAAAATCTCCTTTGAATGGGAAAAAAGATTATTTAAAAAAACGGAAAAAAGTAAAAGGCAAATGCTAGTGATGGAGTGCAATCTGGTCGGTCCTAGCTCTTAACGATCTTACCTTTGATTAGAGCAAAAGGTGCCTGAAACGGGGAAGAAAGCAAGTAGTCTCCGGGGAAGAACCCGGTGAGAGTGCTCCGAAGCTCAAGTTAGTATTTTCTCAAAGGCAAGATAAAAAACCAGATGGCGCAAAGTTATCACGTACCTTTATTCTTGGGGGGAAGATGGCCTTTTATAACCACTTTGCGCACTCACTCCCAAGCTCCTGTCAGGTCGGGTATCATTACCTCTACACTTCTGCCAGTTCGGGTGTCATCACCTCT